TCCACACTCGCGCCCCGCCCTCCCGCCTCCCCGGCGCCTGCGTGAGCCCGCCCCGATAGTTCCGCGACCGGCACCATGGAAACGCAGCCAACTTTGGGACCGCTTGTCTCAGCGCTGCCCAGAGTGGTCTTTAAACCATGGCTCCAAAGCAAGTCCCTGAGGTATAGGGTCACGTCGCCCCATCCTGTGGCCCAGAGATGTAGATCTGACTACCGTAGTCTGGCCGCGAGGCTTGCAGTGCAGATTCTCCCCAGCCCGCAGGTCTGCCCCCAGCAAGCCGCAGGCCTGTGTACAGCCCACAGACCGGCACAGAAGCATCTAGCACTTCATATAGGGACGGGAAGATCCCTGGAGGGCGGGAAATACTGGCCCTGCAAAACCGCTCAAGCTCCCTGCAGGCTAAAGCAGGAGGGCAAAGCATGGCTCACCACTAAAGGACGAAGGCAGATCTCGGCAACAGAACAATATTTCCCTTCCTTCTCCGGTTCCTGACCAGAACATTCTGTTTCCCCTCCCTCCCTCCAACCCAATGGTAGCTGTCCCTGCCTCAGGTTTTCGCTGGCTCACCCTCTGTTAACAGCCACCAATGAGAACCACATGCTATCAGAAATAGCAGCTTTTATTAATGGGTTGTCTCCAGAAACCAGAAAAGCCTATGTACTCTTTGAGTTACCTCCTATGCCTCCAAGATCTCACATTGCTCCACCTAGGGAAGGGATATAAATTGATCTTCCAAGGCCCAGTCGTCCCTTAACCTCAGAAACTTAGTAGCAAGGCTGGGTATGGTGGCTCACGCCCGTGATCCCAGCACTTTGGGAGGCCAAGGAGAGAAGACTGCCTGAGTCTAGGAATTTGAGACTAACTTGGGCAACATGGTGAGACCCTGTCTCTACAATAAACCAAAAAAATTAAGGCCAGGTGCAGTGGCACACACCTGTGATCCCAGCACTTTGGGAGGCAGAGGTGAGAGAACTGCCTGAGCCCAGGGGTTCAACACTAGCCTGGGCAACTTGGCAAGAACTCATGTCTACAACAAATAAAAAAAAAATTAGGCTGGGCTTGGTAGCTCAGTATGTACTCCCAGCACTTTGGGAGGCTGAGGTGGTGGATTGCCTGAGCCCACAGGTTCAAGACCCGCCAGGGCAACATGGCAAGATCTCGTCTCTACAATAAATAAAAAAATTAGCCGGACATGGTAGCGCACGCTAGTTCCAGCTACTTGGAAGGCTGAGGAGGAAGGATCACCGGAGCCCAGCAGGTGGAGGCTGCAGGGGCTGGGAGTGTACCACTGCACTCCAGTCTAGGTGACAGAGTGAGACTCCAACTCAAAAAAAAAAAATTAGATAGACATGGTGGCGCACACCTGTGGTTCCAGCTACTTGGAAGGCTGAGGCAGAAGGATTGCCTGAGCCCAGTGGGTCGAGGCTGCAGTGGCCATGAGCGTGTGCTACACTCCAGCCTCGGCAACAGAGTGAGACTCCCACTCAAAAAAAAAGAAAAAAATAAATAACCAGATGTGGAGGCATGCACCTGTAGTTCCAGCTACTTGGAGGGTTGAGGCATAAGGATCATATGATCCCAGCAGGTCAAGGTTGTGGTGGCCGTGATCATGCCACTGCACTTAAGCCTGGGCAACAGAGTAAGACTCCAACTCAAAAAACAAACAAACAAACACTCAGCAGCAATAACATTCAGTGTTTTTTTCCTTCTCTTTTTCCAGAATGCTGCAACTGTTTAGTATCGACTCAGGTGGAGGCTGTGGGGGAAGCAGCTAGCCGAGTAAGAGTGATGCACAGGAAAACAGGAACATGGTCTATCAAAGGCCCCTCTGCCCTGCCTCAGTGGCTTGGTCCTTCATTGGCTGCACTTCTCTTTGTGCTGGATCGCGCCTTTCTGAATCAGATCAGGGATTTCCACTGCCAGCCATGGGCCCAGCTGCAATACAAGGAAGACCCTGTGAGAACACTGCCGCCCAGTCCTCGCCTTTTGTTCCCTCAGAAGCTCCCTAGGAGAGAGACTCTGGGGGAACGCACCCAAGGGGCTACTGTTAATCCTGTTCTCTCTCAGCTACTTCTCAGGGCCTAAGACCCTCTTCCTGCTCTTATACCAAATACATCAGACTTACCCCCAGAGCCATAAGATGAGCGAGTCCAAACTTGGGCACGTTCCTGGCCCACAAAGGTTTGAAGTGATCTGTCAGGCATATCTTGCCACCCCTATGAGAGAGACAAGGGAAGTGTTGACATGTAGTGTTGGCACCAACATAAAGCACAGCAGTCTCTTGGTAGCATAAGAAGACTTCTAGTGATCAGAACTGAGGACAAATCAGCTCAGTACTGTGTCAGGCTTGGCCCAGGAGGCCTGGCACCCGGTGGACCAGAAGACCAGGGGAAAATCTTCTGCCTGCTGCATTTTTCTTTAGGGCTTTCTTTGACCCCATCTCCTCCTCAGTCCTACCTGTACATCTTTGCTGTCTTTCCATCCAGTTCAGGGACTGCAATTTCTGGAGCAGTGCTGGGATATGTGACAGGAATCTGGAGGAATTATACAACTTTAGTAAAACAGGGAATCAGGACGGAAAGGAGTGAATCTAATCAGATACACTTATTTCTGGGTTGAACCAAAATGCTTAGCAAACTCCCCAAGCAGCACTGCATATCCCAAAATTCTGGGCATGGAGATGAGCAACGAACTCATGCTTGTTTCAGACCTCAGCTCTCCCTTCCCATTTATAGTTTTCTTTGGGCCTCTTCAAGAAAGGTAAGCTTGTTAACAATCACCTAATACCTCCCCTTTTACTAACCTTCATATTTCCCACTCCGTCACACTCACGTCAAACTCGATGTCAAACTCATATTTGAGGAGGTCATGGATGTACCAGCATTTTCCAAACCACCTGTAACGAAGACCAGACCTCAGTCCAATTTGTTCATTCTTCTCATACTCAAAGGACATCTTGGCTTGGGCCACCAGCCCAGGAGACTCATGGGATGGGTACTGGGGAACTCTGGAGTGATGGGAGTGGAAACAGCTAACATGAGACAGGGCAGCTTCGGCAGTGGACACTGGAAGACCAAATGGCTGAAGTCAGACTCCCACCCATACCTCCCAAGAGGATCTGCCTACCGAGTCCCTTCCTTGTTGGACTCCAGTCGGAACCAGTCATTGTCGGCATTCTTGTTGTTCTCCACGTACTAAAAGGAAAGAATGAGGTCTTTGAGGAAGCAGGTGGGGATAAGGGCAGCCCCCTCTCCTCAAAAGAAATGTGTGCGATTACCTTCTCTCAGTATGTTTACCTATTTTTTCTGACATAAGCAAAGCGGAAGACAAGGCTACACTGACTGGTAAGCGAGGACTTGGTCCAGAACAGAGAACAGAATGTGTGGGTTCCAACTTAGCAAACACAAAAGGCATAAAGATGTCTCCTGGGTTCTCTTCCTACTCCTGACAGTGTCTGCCCTCAGCCCACAACTCGTCCCACAACTTCCCTACGTTGCTCCCTCCCTTCCAGCCTCATTCGTCCTGATTTCAACTAACACTCTCATGCTGATGACTCCCAAATCTTTTTCTCTACTCCAGACCTTACCTCAGAGCTTCAGACTCCAGTATCCAATTGTGACAGTCTGTTGAAATGCCTACCTTCATTTCACAGGTGCCTCAAGCTCCGTATTTCTGCCTGAAATTGATAATATTCCCTCAGATGAACTTCCTGAATTATCAGTTTCAGGTGGCTGTGTTAGTGTTCACCCACGTCAAAAGCCAGAAATCCTCCTTGATGTCCCTGTCCTTTACTCCACCAATCCTTGGTGTCATGCTGACTTTATCTTCGGAATATTTCTCAGATCTACCTCTCCTTACTATCTTTATTGCAGCTGCCTCATTTAGCACATCTTTCTTTTGCTTAGGTTAAGGGCAGTTTCCAAATTATTGCCTCCAACCCTCAATCTTATCCCTGCAATTTGAATTTTCCTCTCTACGGTCACTGCAACTGATCTGAACCCAAATCTGACCATGTTATTCTTCAGTTTAAAGTCTTTTATTTTATTTTATTTTATTTGGAGTCTCACTCTGTCACCCAGGCTGGAGAGCAATGCCACGCTCCTGGCCACCGCAGCCTTGACCTGCTGGCTCAGGTGATCCTTCCGTCTCAGCCTTCCAAGTAGCCGGAACTACAGGCACACGCCACCATGCCCAACTAATTTTTCTTGATTTACTGTAGAGACAAGATCTCACCAAGTTGCCCGGGCTAGCCTCAAACCCCTGGGCTCAGGCAATCCACTCGCCCTGGCCTCCCAAAGTGCTGGGATTACAGGCTGAGCCACCGAGCCTGCCAAACACTGTATTTACAATGATCTGGTCTTGTCTATCTCGGTAGGCGCCACGTTATTTGGCTTTGTATCTCCTCCCTAGTTTCCAACTGCACAATAAATGTTTTTTGTTTTTGTTTTTATGAATGAAAACATGCGCAGAAGAACCGCTGGCCCTTGAAGCAGAGACAACTACAAGGAAGACAAACGTCCTTCTCTTCCCACAGTAGAGAGATGAGCTGAGGCGGTAGCCCTTTTCTAACTATGAGCTCAGTCCCGACTCTCTGCAATTAACAGCTTCTTGAATTTTCTGCCCTAACGTACGTTCCTACTGCAGGAAGAGTGAAGAAAGAAGCAGAAAGATGCAGGACTGGGACGTGTGTCCCGAAAAGTACTTTTAAACACCTCTTCTACCTCCAGAAAAGCAAACACCTGGAGCCGGGGAGCCACGTCACCTTCCGGGGAGGTGTACATCCCTAAAATAACTGCTGTTTTTAGCCACCAGGTCTGGCCCACTATGTCCCTAACTTGAGCCTCTTCTGCCCCCTCCCCACCACCCTCCTTTATTCTCCAACCCCACAATCGTCCCATTTCTATGAATTTGGGAGTAAACTTAAAAGCCGGAAGCGGCTTCCACACGGAGCCTATTATCGAGACACCTAATTACCCGCAACCCCTTTGCGACGCGTTCGGCTATAGAAACACAACCAACCCGGATAAGGGATTGATATTCTTCCTTCAGTCGCTGCACCCACAACTCCCGATCTCGGGGTCCGGCGTTAGTCTTCAGCACCGGGATCTCCGACACGACACGCCGGGTAGCCTCGTCCGCCATCTTGAACCACGGCTCAAGAGAGACGCGGAAGTGGCGTTGCCTGTAGGTTACGCTCAGGGCACCGCCATCTTTACTACGGGAAGAGGAAGAGGTAGTTTGCCTGAAGACCTCTGAACGCGATCTTATTTTCTTGTCACCTAGTCACCAGCTTGTGGGCGCATGGGAAGAACACAGAGGAAACGGACTACTCTGTCTTGTTCTGAATGTGGCAGCTATCATTAACATCACCGCACAAAGCTGAAAGGGTCACTTCCGTTCATGCTCAGAGAAGTAATCCCAGAAAACCCTTCCGGACACCTACCCAAACTTTGGAGCACCGTTAGAATTTTAGACTGTGCCCGGCGCTCTGCAAGGCCGAGGTAGCAGAAGCCGATGCAATTATCCAATAGATGGGAATTTATAGAAACCATGCAGAATCAAGTAAAAGCTACAGTCCCCGCCCTAGTTAATATAACTGAACTAGACTTTTTTTTTTTAGTCTGTGTCTCTCTGTCGCCCAGGCTGGAGTGCAGTGGCACGCTCACAGCCACCGCAACCTCGACCTGCTGGGCTCAGGTGATCCTTCCGCCTCAGCTTTCCAGGTAGCAGGAACCACAGGCATGCACCACCACGCCCGGCCTATTTTTTGACTTATTGTAGAGACAAAGTCTCGTCAAGTTGCCCAGGCTGGTCTCGAACCCGTGGGCTCAGGCAATCCTCTCACTTCAGCCTCCCAAAGTGCTGGGATTATAGGCGTGAGCAACCGCTGCCGGCCCTAAACTTTTCTTTTTTTTTTTTGACTCAGTGTCTCACTCTCACCCAGACTGAAGTGCAGTAGAATGCATAATTATGGCCCACCGCAGCCTTGACTTGCTGGGCTCAGGTGATCCTCCCATGTCTCCTTTCCAGTAGCTGGTATTAGTCTCCCTTTATTGCCTAGGCTGATCTCTAACTTCTGTGCTCAAGCAATCCTCCCACCTTAGCCTCCCAAAATGCTAGGATATTACAGAAATGAGCCACTGCGCGTGGACTAACTAGACAACGCTTTTTTTTTTTTTGAGTTGGAGTCTCACTTAGTCGCCCAGACTGGAGTGCAGTGGCCGCTCGACCTGCCGGGCTCTGGCGATCCTTCCGCCTCAGTCTTCCAAGTAGCTGGAACTACAGGCGCGCGCTACCACACCCGGCTAATTTTTGATTTATTGTAGAGATGAGGTCTCGCCAAGTTGCCCAGGCGGGTCTCGAACCCACCGGCTCAGGCAATCCACTCATCTCAGCCTCCCAAAGTGCTGGGATTACAGGCTGAGCCACCAAGCCCAGCTTAGACAACTCTTAGTACCAAGAGTTTAGAAGGCACAGGAAGACTTGCCTTAACCTAACCATTCAGTCACTAAGTCCTCCAAATTTTTTGGTCTGGAATTAACTCATCTAGTTAGGAATCATGTCTATCTCCAATGGATGGCACACAGTAGGTTCCCAGTAATCCTTTTGCAAAATGTTGAATTTTCCAGTTGGTTTTTAAAACATAAACACATTGCCAGGCCCTGTGGCTCACGCCTGTAATCCCAGCACTTTGAGAGGCAGAGGTGAGAGCATTACCTGAGTTCAGGGGTTCGAGACCAGCCTGAGCAACATGGCAACACCTTGTCTCTACAATAAATAAAAAAATCACCGGGCATGGTGATGCATGCCTGTGCTTCTAGCTACTTGGAAGGCTGAGGTGGTAGGATGGCCTGAGCCCAGCAGAGAGAGACTGCGGTGGCCATGAGCACACCACTGCACTCCAGCCTGGGCAACAGAGACTCCAACTCAGTAAAAAGCAAAAAACAAAACAACAAAAAACATAAACACATTAATCTTGGCTTTAATAGCTGATTTATTCAGTGAATCCATCCAGTGTAATTTTGGATCTAGTTCTATCAATCCATCAAATACTATAGTCCATCTAGAAATTTGACAAGCATGCTACATCTTGTCTAATTGCCCTAGACAAAATCTTCCTGTGCAACATTGAGTAAACGTGTTGCAAGCAGACATCCTTGCCTTGTTCTGACTTTAGAGGGGAAATCAGTCTTTTTCTGTTAAGTATAATGTTAGCTGTAGGGTTTTTCATAGGTGCCCTTTATCAGACTGAGGAAGTTCCTTCTGTTCCTAATGTGTTGAGGATTTATTTTTATTTTTTGAATTAGCGTTTCACTCTATCATCCAGGTTGGAGTGCAGTGACACCCTCACGGCCACTGCAGCCTCAACCTGCTGGGCTCAGGTGATCCTTCTGATTCAGCCTTACAAGTAGCTGGAACTTCAGGCATGAGCCATTACGCCCAGCTAATTTTTGAGTTATAGTAGAGATGAGATCTTGTCAAGTTGCCCAGGCTGATTTCGAATCCCTGGACTCAGGCAATCCTCTCACCTCAATTTCTCAAAGTGCTGGGATTATAGGGGTGAGCCACCATGCCCGGCGGGTTTTTTATTTTTATTTTTTTAGTTGGAGTCTCACTCTGTCGTCCAGACTGGAGTGCAGCGGCCGCTCCCGGCCACCGCAGCCTCGCCGGCTGGGCTCCCAGCAATCCTTCTGCCTCAGCCTTCCGAGTAGCTGGAATTATAGGCATGCGCTACCACGCCCGGCTGATTTTTTGATTTATTGTAGAGATGAGGTCTCGCTGCCCAGGCGGGTCTCGAACCTGCGGGCTCAGACAATCCACTCACCTCAGCCTCCCAAAGGCACGGAATTACAGGCTGAACCACCGAGCCCGGCTGGGTTTTTTATTTTTAATCGTAAATGAGTGCTGGGTTTTTTCAAATGCTTTTTCTGTGTTGTGACGATAATGTAGTTTTTGTCTTTCATTAGCATGTTATACATCTCTTTCATAAACATATTGTATACAAGACTAAGGCAAATCTTTTCCTTTCTTTTCTTTTTTTTTTGAGTCAGTCTCACTCTGCCACCCAGGCTGGAGTGCAGTGGCATGCACGCTCACAGTCACTGCAGCCTCCACTTGCTGGGCTCAGGCAATCCTTCCACCTCAGCCTTCCAAGTAGCTGAAACTACACGCCCAGCTAATTTCTTTATTTACTGTAGAGACGAGGTCTCAGCACATCACCCAGGCTGATCTTGAATCCCCAGGCTCAGGCAATCCTCTAGCTTCAGCTTCCCAAAGTGCTGGGATTACAGGTGTGAACTGCCACATCTAGACAGGACAGACAAAGCTTTGTAATTCATCACTAGAGCTCTGTCTCCCAGGGAAAATAAAGACATATTTTATTTTGGGTATGGGCACTGTGCTGTGGTACAGAGAGCAGAGGCTTGTAATAAGACTTGGCAATTTAATTGTCATAGACTTCCGAGTTATTTTAACTCTGTGAAGTGCATTTTCACACCTATAATAGGAGAATAATGCTTATATAGTTGTTGGAACTATATATGCAATGTCCCTTTACTCAATCTTTCACTCCATTCATTCATTCATATAACAGGACTTCAGGATGAAATTCAAATAAATAAATGGCAATTTTCAAACTTTTTTTTTTTTGAGTTGGAGTCTCACTGTTGCCCAGAATGGAGTGCAGTGGCCGCTCCCAGTCACCGCAGCCTTGACCTGCTGGGCTCCGGCGATCCTTCCGCCTCAGCCTTCCAAGTAGCTGGAACTACAGGCCGGCGCTACCACACTCAGCCAATTTTTATTATTATTTATTGTAGAAATGAGGTCTCACCAAGTTGCCAGGGCTGGTCTTGAACCTGTGGGCTCAGGCAATCCTCATACCTTGGCCTCCCAAAGTGCTGGGATTATAGGCGTGAGCCACTGAGCCCAGTCGTTTTCAAACTTTTATGTACTAATGAAGCCAGGTTTACAAACAGAATCCTAATTTACAGTCTCACGATATTAAACTGATCAACGCACAGTTGCTCTTGTTCAAGTGTGGGCAGAAGACCTGTATCCCTGAGAATTCTTCCCCTATGAAAACTATTCATCATATTTTAGTAATTATCTTGATAACTGAAATCTCAACCAAGGTGGGGATTATGTATCTGTCTTGTTCAGTGCTGTATTTTAAAAACCTAATACATAACTGGGTGTGGTGGCTCACGTCTGTAATCTCAGCACTTTGCTGTAATCTCAGCAACCTCAGACAGAGGTGAGAGGACTGCCTGATCCCACGGGTTCAAGACTAGCCTGGGCAACATGGTGAAACTTTATCTGTACAATAAATCAAAAAATTAGCTGGGCATGGTGGTGCACACCTGTAGTTCCAACTACTTGGAAGGTTGAGGCAGAAGGATCACCTGAGCAGGTCGAGGCTGTGGTGGCCATGAGCATGCTACTGTATTCCAGCCTGGGTGACAGAGTGAGACTCCAACTCAAAAAAAAAGAAAAATAAAAATATAAAATGTAAATAAAAATAAAAATATAAAAGTGCCTGGTACAGATTAAATGTTCAATCAATATTTTTAAGATAATTGTTTTTTTTGTTTTTTTTTTAAGTCAGAGTCTCACTCTGTCACCCAGGCTGGAGTGCAGTGGTATGCTCCCGGTCACCACAGCCTCGACCTGCTGGGCTCAGGTGATCCTTCCGCCTCAGCCATCCAAGTAGCTGGAACCATGCCCAGTGGTAATTGAATATTTTGATAAAATGCTGTCTTTTTAAAGCTGCATATTGCATTTGTTTCATTATTTTGAAAAATCACGTTATTAAACCACTTAGTAAAGCAGAGCTCCCGTATGTGTAACACCACACAGGGCTGTATCTGTGATAAACACAGGGTTGCTTCTATTGCAGGCATAGCTGTGTCTCTGTAGAGAGTATATCTCTACTAGAGAAATGCTTATTTTAAATTGTGAACTTAACTTATTCTTGTTTCAAGTAATTCTCACAGGAAAGCAGAAGCTAAAACTGAGAAGACTGAAGGAAGAGTACGTAGGCCCGAGCCTTCACCCTTTGTCAGAGGAAGAACTCTGAGGTTCACGAGCAAATGTGTGCGGAGTTCCTGCCATGCTGTAGGCATTGGAAGTACAGCAGTGCACAGGCAGGCAGAAGCCTTGTCCTTATGAAAATTAGCCTAGGCCATTGCCTTGCTAGACTGGTGTGGGCATGTGCTC